ACGGAGGCACAGGCCCCGAAATGGAGCACTCCCAGCTGAGGATCTTGGCTGAAGGAGGATTATGTGTCTGTTCAATCTGGAGATTTAACACTTCCTGACAGCGTTCCTACGTTTCTAGCAGCCCTTGCACCAGCTCTCACTACAGCCAGCGCAGGTAAATCCGATGCACCCCCATCTCCGTGGTCTCCGTCCTACAGTGGGCAGGGTCTTCCCCTACTCCTGCCTCGGGCTCAGATCCCTGTGGTCTCCGTTCCTGCAGCTGCCTACCTGTAGGTGCTGTGGTGGGTGCCACAGTTCTGGCTTTGGAGACAGATTAATTGGTAGTCAGCTTTGGTCTCAGCCTAAGCCTCATTTCCCCCATCTGCCAAGGGTGAGTAGGGAACCATCCCTGGACATTAACTGGGGTGTTTTCCAAAGGCCCACATATTGGGCACGTGGTCTCCAGAGTCTTCTAAAATTGAATGGCTTAATGCTGTTGGTTAATGGATTAAGAGTGGAAAGTTGATCGAATAGTAGGCCCAGCCTCGCTCTCTGCTTGCTGCCTCCTCATGTAACCCTTCCTGTGCCAGCTTTGACTTCAGACTAACAGGCCCGTGACCCTCCCACAGTAAACCTGCTTTGCTCCTGTGCAGCTCCTCTCAGCTATGTTTAAGTAGAGAAATACTTTACAGGGTTGCTGTGATGCGTGGAGATGATGCACCGGGAACCTCAGCTGCCAAACAGTGGGTGCTCAATTCATAGGAGCCCTGGGCTCTACAGCCTCCTTGCTCTTCCTTTCATGCTAGCCAACAGCAGTTAACCATGGTGTGAGGTCCATGAGCCTGGCCAGAGAGCTGCTGCAGGTCCCCTGAGAGTCGGGACATGCAGAACATCGATGGTGGGTCACCCTGCGCAAGACAGAGTCCAGCCCATCCTTCTAAGAAAGACTAAAGTTTTACAACTAAATGAATATGCCTAAAAAGCATCGAGGAGGGTAGACACCAAAATAGTAACAGTCTTGGAGTTATGAATCTTTCTCTTTGTTATGTATTTATCTACCCCGCCCCACCAAATGAGCATGCATTGAATAACAACAAAAAATGAATCCATGTATTATAGAAATCTCCATGCAATATGGACCTTAAATGTGAGGCACCATCTGGGATTTGCATGTCAAAGAATCATGGTTTCCAGCTGCAGAGGGCTGTGGCCATCATGTGGAAGGAATTAGGGGAGCTGAATGTGTACTCTCCGTAGGACAGTTGCCATATTGAGAGAGGGCCAAAGCCACTCCCAAGAAGTGGCTTTCATAGCCTGTCCGTGAGAGAGGGTTTAGGAAACTGATGACATTATTGCTTAAGACAAATTAGCCATTAGATACACAAGCATTTTAGATTCTTATTTGTGGATAGTAAATCACTTTTTTTTTTTTTAAAGAAAACTACATTTGGTAAGCTCTGTGTTTAAAAGAATATTCCAGGAAGACTTTGATAAAAAAAACAATCAGTTTGGCCATTCAAACTCTCACTTCCTCGTGTCTATTTTATAAATGTGAACATTTGTTGAGTTTCTCTTCTTGACACAAGACGTGCCTCCACTCACGAGTGAAAACTGGGGCTATCGCGACAAATGCCACCATGTTTATTTCAGGCTAACACTGATGCTGTGGCTTCCATCTTTGGCACCAGCTTCCTGGAACACACCACCACCAGAGAGGTGATGACATTTCTGTGTCTATAAAAGCGCAAGATGCAACTGTGTGGGGTAGTTTCCCATCAGGCCTGCTTCCAGCCAAGGCAATTGACTAAATTAACGGGTGACAGCCTTCAGTTCTGCAAGTCTATCACATTTATTGTCGGGAAGCGTATTCTTGTTTTTGTTATTCCTTATTCCTCTGTGAGGAAGAGATTGGAGACACATTTGGTTTGAATCATCTTAGCATAAAAAGCAACCAACTCAAAGTGCCAAAGATTCAAAATAAGAGTTATGAGTCATAATAGAAGTAATCGCTGCAAGAGACAGTAATCTCCTCAAACGAGCACAATCTAGACTCAAACTAAAATGAAATAGGTTTTCATCTATTTACCAATGAAAAATTTTCAGTGTAAGCTAGTTAATGTGAAGGATTGGTTAATCCAGCTGCTCAACCATGTCATCAACAACCCAAATTCTTCAAGCCTTTCTACTCTGCTACCTCTAAAATTCTGCTCTTCTCCTCACGGTCACAGGATGACTGTCACAATTTAGAAACATTACATCCTCAAAAAGAAATGGCCAATTGCCTGTTCCTCCATCAATCACTGATTTAAAAAAATGGACTTATCCTGAAATGAACTGTGAATCCCTGCCCGGGGCTGAGGAAGGGAGCTCCTTTCTTCAAAGTAAAGTTCGTAATACTTGAGCAAACTTGGGGTTTGGTAAGAAGGAAGGAGGAAAGACTGCATGGTGGATTATTTATATGAAGTGCAGGCACAGAGACAGGGATGAGATTTATAACTGACTATTTGCTAGAAGGCAAGGAGAAATTCATTTACAGTTTTAGCACAGAAATAATTCAAACCCGAAATTCTATACCCAGCCAAACTTGCACTCATACAGGAGAGAAAAATAAATTCAGATTCAGGTAGGAAGATCATGAAGTTAATCTTCCATAAGCCTTTGAAGACTTTTTTAAAAAAAAATTTAAAAGATATATTCCATCACAGCAAAATAGAAATCCACATAAAAAAAATCTGTGACCAAGGAAAAAATGAAATTAACCCAGGAATGCAACAAAAATGAAGCTTGGCTGGAAATTCTGCAGCAAAGCTGGGAAACAAGAGGTCGAAATTAAAATGAGTAATATCAGAGAATTCCACCATGTGTGTCTTCAAAATGCAAATAATTTCCATTATGCAATTCTATAACTAGCAACCTAGGAAATATTGTTCAGATGAACTCATGTAGGTTTTTTTTTTTTTCTGTCAACACTACAAACAAAACAATGAGAAACTCCAGGGAAAATAAATGACTACACAGCATCATAGTACAGATATGAAGCAGAATCACACATGACCTGACGTTGAACAATTGACTAACTGTAAAAAGAACCCACTGGGTCATGAAGTCTACAAAATTTCCCTCCCAGCAGCCCAATGGAGTGGAATAGAATCAGATTTCCTTTGCTATGGATTTAATTATATTGGGGCAGGGTCTATCAGTAGATGATACTTATGCCATGTAATTTTTCAAGTGCTGTTTTTGGTTTATGGCTGTGCAAGCTGTGCATCGAGAAATTAAGGGGGATTAATTTTCTGATCAAAAACTTTTAGGTTCCTAAATAGAATTGCCTAATGTAATGATAATTAATCAAAATGTCAAGGTTATAAGTCTCAAGATGAAAAGGTTAACAGTTAACAGAAGTTGAGAAAGTTGAAGTAAAAAAAAGGATAATATGAAAGTCTGTTAATTTCTCATTTATTTAGGGAAGGTAGTGAATACATATAGTCTGAATTTTATGGATTTAGAAATAATGATTTAACAACGACCAACATAGCAGCAATGACTATCCATAGGCCCAACTTATGATCTACGTGCCATTTTACTCAAAGTGATCAGAACTCCTTAGAGAAATGGTGAACCCAGCCCTGGGGCAGAAATGCGTCACATGGGCCTGTAACATCAACTCATACCAGAAAACGGGGATGGTGCCAAGGACTCCTGGAGCCAGGTCAAGAGGACTTGGGATGAACTTGAAGAAGCATTCAGTGGCCAAAGGCAGGACAGTTTAAACAGGAACTGAAATGAAATTGAGTATATGAGCTCATCATAGGACTGAAAGAAAAAGTTCCGTGGTTACCATGGAGGATATTAGGGAGTCAACTCATTGTTATAAAAATTGGCAGTTCAAGAACTTTTAAAGTAATTAAGAGAACCAAGCAATGATTTCTGCTTTTCTTGTTCCAGAAATTTCTTTTTACAGAAGTATTCCAGCTATTAAGGGGAAAAGGACTGAAAGAATTTCACTCCCTCCAATAAATCAAGGCATCTAGCCAATGAACGTCAAGCGCTGCTGGAATGATGTGAAGCGAGACAACGAGGCAGGTGCACCTCTGGATGGAAGATAACAAGCTATGTGTAAGACATTGCCTGCCGGAAAAATCAAATTGTGATCCAAGCACGTCTCTAGATCTAATTACAAAATGACAGGAAATATATAAGGGTTAGAAGAACACATTAAATGGCACCACTGAGATAGCATCGTCCAAATCCATGCAGCAGAAAACGGAAGTCAATTTCTTCAACAAATTACAGTGCAGGGACAGGCATTGTGGTGCAGGAGTTGAAATGCTACTTGAATACCAGAGTCCTCTGTCTGCTCCAGATGCTAGCATACACCCTGGTAGGCAAAAGGTGACGGCTTAAGCAGTTAGGTGCCTCCCACCTATGTGGGAGACCTGGATTGAGTTCCTAGTGTCTGGCTTGGGTCTGTTCTAGCCCCAGTGCTCTCTCTCTCCCTCTCTCCCCCACCCCACCCTCCCCTCTCTCGCTCCCTCTCTCTCTCCGTTTGTCTCTCCCTCCGCCTTCAAAACATGAAATAATTTTTTTGCAAAAATTACATTCTAGTCATACAAAAAAGAAGGGTGAGGGACCTATAGATTAAAGAGGCTGAGGAGACATGCTGATCAGCTGGAGCATCAGAATTTTGTTTAGATCCTGATTTGAAAAAAAGTGGGGGAAAAATGACACAGTGAAAGTTCAACAGTAGCTGGTTATTAAGGAATTAGTGTAAATGTTTTCGGTGTGGTAATAGCATTGAGATTGCGTGTTGTTTTTAAAGACATCTTCTTTTAAATAAATCCTGCTGGGATGCACAGGTGAAATGATACAACGTCTGTGATTTGTTTCAAAATAATCAGTAGAGGGGAGCAAGTGCAGATGAAACGCGAGCAATTCTGAGTTCAGACTCGAATCTGGCTGCTGTGTAGATGGGGCTTCCGACACGCTTCTCTCCACATCTGTCTACGCTTGCAGGGTTTTGTATTAAGAAATTTGAGAAGATCAAGCTCTAAGTATGTGGTTTAAAGCTGGAAGTTAACCCAGAAAAACCCAGCAACATAACAGAATTCAGAAGTTAGGGGCAGAGAGCTGGTGGAGTTGATGGCTTGCACACTGCCCCTTCCTTCTGAGAGAAGACATCCCAGGCTCTGCTGACGGCGGGGAAGTTCAAGACACAGGTCAAGCACAAGGGAGATAGGCACTAGAAACGTTTTATTTATTGAAGGGAGGGGAGGAGGACAAAGGAGGCCTTCCCTTCCTGTATTATTTTATTTTGTATTGTGTGATGCTTTTAACGTACCCATATATTGATCTTATTATGGTAAAATACATACAATGTAGCATGTACCACTGCAACCATTTTTAAGCATACAATTCACACGTTCAAGTGTACAATTCGGTGGCATTACCTAACTCGCGTCTCCTCATCTACCATTCATTTCCAAAATTTTTTCATTAACATTCAGACAGAACCCCGTTTAACAGTCACTCCCCATTTCCTTGCCTGCACAGCCCCTACCACCCACTGCTCTGCTTCCTGTCTCTATCAGTTTGCCTCTTCCAAGGACCTCGCATATGTGGGATCATACAACGCTTGTGCATTGGTGTCTGGGTTACTTCAGTTAACATAATGTTTTCAGGGTTCATCCATGTCATATCACATGTCAGAATTTCATTTCCTTTGCATTGCAATAAAGCATACACAGCACAGGATTCCAATTCGCCATTTTACGCATTTGACAGTATACAAGTTCTGTGCCATAAATAGGCTTAACTGCTGTGCAACCATCACCACCATCCGTCTCTAAACCTTTTCCTGTTAAATGGAAACTACGTACCCATGAAACAATAGCTCCCCATGGCCCTCTCCTCTCAGCCCCTGGCATCCACCATTCCACTTTCTCCACCACCCCAGGGGGCTCCTGTAAGTGGAATCTTACAGTATTTGTCCTTTTGTGGTTGGCTGGCTGTTTTCGAGGTCCATTCACGTTGTAACGTGCATCAGAATTCCCTTTCTTTTTAGGGCTGCTTGATTTGGTGCACCCACTCGAAGGCTAAGTCCTTTTACTTGATTTGGTGCACCCACTCGAAGGCTAAGTCCTTTTACTTGATTTGGTGCACCCACTCGAAGGCTAATCTCTTCCAGACACACCTTCACAGACTCACCCAGAAGTGATGTTTAATCATATATCTGGGCAGCCCGTGGCTCAGTCAAGCTGACACATAACATTAACTGTCTTATAAGTCCAGTCCTTGTCCACTTGGCAGCTATGTACATCTTGAACCACATTGAATCTCCAAATAAACAATAACAAGCTCATAATTCTGCCTGTGATGATACAATTACCCTGAGTACAACCAAAAATGCTCTAATCCTCACACAGGGGAGGCAGTAAAATCCTTGAGTGACATTTGCTCTTCTCCTTGAAACCTCCTAACTTAAACATTATGATGAAAAATTAGCAAGAATTCAATACTGAACATAAAACCCACAAGCTAGCTTATGTTATATGATAAGGTAAGAAGGATGTGAAGAAAGATATATCCATGCATGTATACACACACACACACACACATAATTATATTCACAAAGACAGGGGGACTAGCCATGGGGGTCACAGGGCTTGTTTCTGTAACTGAGCACATGGCCACAGCTGGTATTTATAACTGCCTTCTCCACTTCCCACTCCCGTTGCTCTCAGCGAGCACCGCAGTTGGTCATGGCTATTGGAGGGATCCACGCCTTCATTCCTGAAGTTTCTGTGCCCTTGGTAGTTAGAAGTCCTGCCTGGGCTGCGTTGTTAAAGTTTTCCATTGACGTTAATCCCGAGGCATGGCAATAAGTAAAATGTCAGTCTTAACTTTCAGGTCAATAGAATCATTGTTGAGTCTCCCAGGGGCAGTATGGAACGAAGACCTCTAGGCCAGCAAAGTTGTAGGGAGAGGAAGCAAACGCTTTGCTAGTGTCACGAGGAGTACACGAGTGGTGCCACTCCCGTTTCCACCCCTTGACTCCTAGACCTATGAATCCTGGCCATGGGAGAAGCAGTCTCACATACTGGGCTGATTCAGACCACACCCAGCCATCTGGAAACCCCGCCCTAGTCCTGCAAGGTACTGCCACGTAGTTGACACTATAACTGAGTCTTTCAAAGGCCATTCCGCTGCTCTACAAAACCAGCTGGATATTGGGGAACATCGTAAGACCAGTAAATTCCATCAGCTTGGATGCTCTGCAACTCTTCCTTTGCTGTAAAGTAAGCTCCTTGATAGAAGCAATGTTGCATGGAATGCCGCAGTGGTGGGTAAGCCATCCTCTAAGTCCACGGATGGTAGCTTCTGCAGAAGTATGTGCTCAAGGAAGGCACACCTGTTTGCAGAATAAGTGTCTCTTCCAATAAGAACAAAGCACTTCCTCTTTCATGATATATGTGACCCAATGGAATCAGCTCACCACCAGCTAGCCGCTGATCACCCCCCAAGGAACCATCCCATATTGGAGAAGCAGCAGTGGCTGTAGCCAGGCCATCCCTGCTGAGTGGAAGTCCGTTAGCTGGGCCCATGCACAATCTCCATCCATGCCACCATGTCCACTTTCTTCATGGGCCCATTGAGCAATGGCAGGAGTAGCTGGGGAAGGAGGCACTCACACAGGACACCAGTATCTTCATGAGTTTATTCCATCCACAAGATTTATCCATACAGATCCTCCATGGTCTCCATGACCTCCTTCATGGTCCAGTCGCTGGCACGTTCTACGCAGGCTTTGTAGGTATCTGTGAAGCAGCCCCTGCAGCATTAGGGACCAATCCCTTTCTTCCATAGCAGGGATGACATCCCTCCATTTCCCTGATGGAGCCGTGCTGTGTCTAGACCCCAGATCTCAAGTTAAGGACACATCATATCACAAAGCATCAGCTGGGGACCAGGTGAGGGCTTCACGGTCTCCAGCCAATGGTACTGTGATCCTCCTGACCACAAAGAAGGAGTCGCCCAGAAGGCTCTACTACAGGCTCTGGTTGCCACTTCTTCCCTAACCAGCTCCTGACTTTAGCAGAAGGGACCTGCCAGGACTTCGCACCTCCACCCTCCTTACAACCCAATTTGGGCTTAGCTTTCAGTGTCTCCCACTGTCAAGGATACGAGGGGCCCTTTAGATCCTTCTCATGGTGCCAGAATTGACAGTCACCTGACTTGAGCTTATTATTTTCTTTACCCTGGATCTCTCTTACCCTATATCTCCAAATCACCAGAGCTATTGCATGCATGGTACCCCAGCCCCTTATTCCTGTAGCTTCTCCCCACCCCCAGCAGTCAGAGACCTTTGCAATGTTGGAAATCACCACTGTTGGCTGGCAATGATGCAACTCCAGAAGCCAATCATCGGCATCTGCTCCCAAGGCCTCTTGTGGCCCCAGTGGCATTAGGCAGATCCCTGCATAAGCAGGTGCAGAGACAAAGGTATGGATGCAAGTGGCTTGTTTGGCAGGTAGTCCCAAAAGCATTGCCATGGGGTTAGGAAGTGAGATGGGGAAGGAAAGGAAGGACCTAAAGGAGGGTACCTGGCATTTTGTCATTTTGGCAACTTGGGCGCCATCTTTGATTCCTGGGAGACACTGTTGAACATGTTGAAGTTCACTGAGTCACGTTGAACATGACTCAGGGGTGAAGAGGCCAGGGCATCTCTCCTCCAACTTCACTTGCCCCTGGGGAGCATCACCCTGCCTGCCCCATGAGCAGCTGAGAGGAAGTACTGAGGCCAAAGGTGGCAGGGACTGGTAGCAGGTGCTGTGAGTGCACTGGATGCCACCAGTGCTGAAGGTTTGGGCAGATCAGTGACAGCACTGGCTGCACTAAACAGGCATACCTCAGCCTGGACAGAAGTACATCAGCAACCCAACATGTGCCGGGCACGAGAGTGAAGGTCATTTCCTGAAGGCTGCACGTGGTCACATAGCCTCAACGGAGATGCGGGCCAGGGCAGGTCAATGCAGAGGAGTAGCCATGCTGAAAATGAAATGCAAAGCAGTCTCGCAAGCTAAGGGGGCCACAGTGGTGCCCCGATAACCTGACTTTCATATGCGTGAAGCAGAGTGCACAGTGGTGCCCCGATAACCTGACTTTCATATGCGTGAAGCAGAGTGCCCTAAAGAAAGCAGAAGTCCTCAAACGTGCCTTATCCATCTCTAGCACTGTCAAGGACCAGCCTTGGCTGGAAGATGGTCAAGCTGATCATGACTTTGCATGAGCAGGCTCCACATTTCATCCCATCAGCTGAGCCCAGGGCTTCAAGAGGTCTCATTAGAAAAGAAATCAATTTGCACATAACAAAAGCCAGTTGTCATCCCCACACAGCATCAAAACAAGCGTTTCAACCAATTCACTAAAAAAAACTCAGCTGGCTCAGTAGGAAAATCAGTCAATGAAAACGATAGTTTAAGTCTCTGCACAATATGAGAAGCAGCCTGATTGTGCCTCCGGAGAGGATATTTCACTCTTCAACCAGCTACACTGCTGTTGGCTGGCCCAAGCAAGGTTGGCATGAACTCAGGGCCACCGCCCAGCCCAGGAGCTGCTGCAGGAAGACATGGCTTCAGCTTGGAATAAGCCAATTGTAAATCATTGCTAGGCACCCACAGGACTGAGAGCCAGGGAGAGAGAGCCCTGGGTGGTGGCGCTGTATGGTCAGCTCCTGTCTTTGATCCTGAAGATGCAGCACTGGAAAGTTATGGATCTGTAATATGGCTCCCTAAGGAGACGTGACTCATCCCTGACTCAGCCACGGAAGCACTGGCAGCAGGGGCCAACATAATCCATGAGGCCCAGCACAAAAGAAAAGTACGAAGCCCCTTCCTCAAGGACATGATTGAGCATTCCAAGATGGTCACAAATGGGGCTGTTGCTGTGGCATAGTGGATAAAGCTGCCACCTGTAGCACAGGCATCCCATGCGGGCGCTGGTTCCAGTCCCTGCTGCTCCACTTCTGATCCAGTTCCCTGCTAATGCACCTGGGAAAGCAGCAGAAGGTACTTGGGCCCTTGCACCCACATGGGAGAACCAGATGGAGTTCCAGTCACCTGGCTGTGACCTGGACCAACCCTGGCCATTTGGGGAGAGAACCAGCATATAGAAGATCTCTCTCTCTCTCTCTCTCTCTCTCTCTGTAACTCTGCCTTTTAGATAAATAAAAATCTAAAAATGGTGACAGCAGGGCACTAGACCAAGCGGGGTCCTTGGATGAAGGCATGGGTCACACCCCAGGAAGCTGGCCTTAGTACCAGACAGCAAGGGGGGATGCTGAGAGTGGGGCGGAGAGTAGCAGCCACAGGTTTGGTCCTCACCCTGCCACACGTTTGCTGGGCTGCTATTGATTATCACTTAGCTTCTTTGGGCCAGGTTCCCACAACTCAAAAGCCTAAGACAGGACAAGAGCAGAGGAAAATTTAAGACTTAATATCTAGTCGGCTCTTGATAAGCTTGGTCTTTTGAAAACAATGTTTCAATAACTATATGTCCTGAGCCCTGAGAAAGCTTCATTTCAATGGACATCTATGACTTACCAGCAGCCTGCCTCATCGTCTGGAGATGATGGTGATGAGGGATGTTCCCTCCCCTGGGGAACCCACACTCTCCACAGCCCTCCTTCCAGAACGGGGTGACGATGTTTGCAAGCAAAGTGTATCTGTCAAAGGGACTTTTCCCAGGGGTCACCTGCAACATGATTCTTAAAAAAAAAAAAAAAAGTTTGTTTATTTGAAAGGCAGAATTACAGAGGGAGAGGGGGAGACAGAGATCTTCCATCTGCTGGTTCACTCTCCCAAATGGCTGCAATGGCCAGGGCTGGGCCAGGCCAAAGCCAAAAGCTTCAACCAGGCGCCCACATGGGGTGCTGGCATTGCAGGCTCAGGCTTATCCCTCTATACCACTCCTCCAGCTGTTGCAATACTGTTCTAACCTCGCAGTCTGCCGTCTTCTGGAATTCCTTCAGGAGCAGAGTTCAGGCACCCAGAAGGGCAATCCCACTGCCCGGTGGTCGCCCTGTCACTGTACCACTTCCTGGACTCCCTCGCCTGACTATCTGCCTTGTTTGATACTTTTAATTCAGTGTGATTGGGGGCATCTCAAATATCTAAACCCAGCCTCAGAGGATCTTTTAAAGCATAAAATTTGTTTACTGCTTCATGTTTTGTGTTGTATTTTTTTTTTAAAGATTGATATATTTATTTAAAAGCGAGAGAGAGAGAAAGAGGGAGGGAGGGAAAGAGGAGAGAGATTTTCCATCTTCTGATTCACTCCCTAAATGGCTGCAACAGCCAGCTCTGGGCCAAATCGAAGCCTGCAGCCAGGAACTCCATGCTGGTCTCCCACACATGCGGCAGGGGCCCAAGTACATGTGCCATCATCTGCTGCCTTCCCAGGAGCATTCGCAGGACACCAGATCAGAAGCGGAGCAGCTAGGACTCTGACAGGCACTCTGATGTGCATACTGGTGTTGCGAACGGTGGCTTACTGTGCTGCACCACAACGCCAGCCCCTCCTATTACAAATATTGCATGCACTCCCTTTGGTTTTCAGAAAACACAAATATTATTGTTCATCATTGTTCTATACATACGGTTTTGTCTCTAGTGAAAATAGCCAAAAGCACTTTCAATTAGCCCTGGAATTAATACTAAAAAATATACCACAATTTTTTTTTTTTTTTTTTTGGAAAAACGGCAACATCCTAAGACCTACGTCTACCATGTCTTCAATGTGGTCAATTAAAAGCAAAAACACTCACATTGCTGTCTGGCTAAAATAATTACATCATTTTAGTTACGCTCACACATCAGCAGTCTGGTAAGTACAGGCAGTTATAAAATACATTAGAATAGCTTTGCAGAATCCTAGGAGTCTTCCTTCAAGAAGAAATGCAATGTGTTCTATAAAACTTGGGTGGACAGGATTAGAGCAAGATAGCGTAGCCATTCCCCAGCCATGCCTCACCCACGGGCCCTGTTCCTTGGAACTCCAGAACCCTTCACATAACAGAGAATCATTAGAGAATTGGAGCAAGCTAAGGATTAGTCATCAAGCATTCTATCTGTGGCTTTTTGATTCACGGAGGAAAAAAGGTAGACAGTCAAGTTGGAGGAACACGAATTAGTTGATGGAAAGCAATGCGACCCATTAAGGTAAGATTAATCATGTTTGGGGGATTAATCATATTTCCATCCCCAGAGCACAAACAGTATGGATGGATTCTGTTCAAAAGTGCACGCAAGTCTTTCTGCCGGAGCTGACAGCTCTCCGCAGCAAGCAAGCATGGTTCACATTAGAAACAGCGGCGCACAGCGCGCGGTGATGTGTGCAGAGAAAAACAATTGCCTGTTTTCCGCCTAACTCTCCTAAGTGGTTCTGAGTGGTTCCTTTGGGTGGTGTCTCCTTTTATTTCAGTGAGGCTGCAAGGAGTGGGAGAGGCTCGGGTTCACCCAGGGCCCGACCAACGCCCCCCACCCAGGTGACCAGGCGTCTGAGTCCTGGGGAGGTGGGGTCCTTACCTGACTGTGGCGGAGACAGAGGCATTTCACGTAGCCTGGGAGGAGAAAGCAAGCCCCGACGAGCCTTAAGCATCACAGACAAGGGGTGAGAAGGAGTAAATGAGTTGGGAAGGTGTCCTGGTTGGGTTGGAGTGGGCAGTGGGGCAGGAGAGTTTTGTGCCTAGAACTTGACCCAGGAGCAAACGTTTTGGCTGATGGATTTGCCTGCAAGGGGGGAGACCCATGGGCTGGCCAGACCCCAGAAGATAAATGGTTATTGGGCATCTTCCGTTCAGCCTTCTCGAGAGCCTGCCCCGTGAGCTGGGACCTCCTGCTGCCGGTTGCATTTTGGGGAGTAGAGAGCAGCCCTGTGGGGGCACAGTCTCCACACCTCAGCCCGGAGACCCTGTCCCACAGTCCAGCAGCACCAGTGCGCTGGCCTGGAACAGATCTGCAGCCGGGCTGGCCTCCAGCTTCTCACTGCGCATGCACAAAGCCCCACCCCAACCCCTACAGACGCATGGGAGGCGTGCACAGCCCCAGACCTGGCAGCGGCTACTAATGCCCTTGCTGTGTTTTCTTTTTCCTTTAGCTCCGCGGCCACCTCCCTCGTGGACATTACCTGTTCCCAGAGGTACGCGCTTCCCAGAAGACTCTGCCCAGCAAGCAGCCGTGGTATTTCCTCTGAGCACATGGGTTTTACTACTCTCTTCCTGCTACACGGATCTTGAATACATTTATGTGGTTCTTGTAAACGCTGAAGATAAGGCATGGAATGCGGCTCCGATCCCCTCCCTCCCTTCCTCCAATTTTTGTTCTCTTAATACAGGAATAGGCCAGACCCCACCCATTATAACGGAATGCACTCCCATCAGAATCGGAAAGAAAATCCAAACCATCCTGCCAGGGCCCTTGGAAATCCAGACTTTGCCACAGGGCGTGCAGAGTGTTCTGCGTTCTACTTTTAGGTGGGGGAAAAAAAAATAGAAGGCATCAGGAAAAACAGTTCAACAAAACATTTATTTCTGGTCAGAGAATTTAAAAAAGAAAACATTTTTAGCAGCTTTTGGGCGTCAGGTAACATTGTAAATTTATGCTTTGCATCTCCCCACTGTCCAAGCCTTGAAGTTACTGATGGATTTTTTTTTTCTTTCCATAACAAAGACAGGGCTTCAGTGAGAACCAGAGTAAATGTGTCCAAGAAGAAATGGGACGAACACAGAATGGTGGGCGCAGGTGTCGACCCAGGGCAGGAGGGGCAGGGCTCGGCCATGGGGAGACTTCCCTGGGAGAAACCAGGAGGCTTTTGAGTGAGGAAGTGGCAGGGGCGTGGAATGCGGAGAGCAAGGAAGGCAAAGCCAGCGCCTGCCCAGGAACCAGAGCCCCCCCCCCCCAGCAGCAGGTGCCATCTCAGGTGCGTGGGGCCACAAAATTCAGGAGACTGAAACACACGTACAGATGGAAGCACAGACACACACGCACGTACATGTAAAAACATACATATGTATGTGCAGACACATGGATACACAGGCACAGGTGAAAACACATGCACACATGTGTGTGCACAGACACATGCACACTCATGAAACCCATGTGTGCACACATGTGCATACACATGTATATTGCCTACATATACACCAGGAGATTTTGAAAAGTCCACAGAGGGGCGGGCGTCTGCGCAGGCAGTTAAGACGCCTGCATCCCATATCAGTTCTAGCTTCCGGCCATGGGGGACAGCAGAGGTGGCTCCAGTTGGGTCCCTGCCACCAGTGTGGGAAGCCCGGATTGCCTTCCTGCCTCACAGCTTTGGCCTGGTTCAGCCCCGGCAATCACCAGTATAAGCCAGCAGATCAGCTCGCTCGCTCGCTCGCTCGCTCTCTCTCTCTGCCTTTAAAATAAATATAAATAAAAAAATATTTTTTAGTTCATGGAAAGTGAAATAAAAGATAAGTTGATTTTGGTGCAAAAACTTTCGAAATCCTTGCATAATGTTTTTCATAATATGCACGTTTTATGAATTTCATGAAGACTCTGTATGTGTGTGTGTGTGTAAAGAGATTGAGATCACAACCAATTCCTGAGCCTGGTGACCTTCCAAACAGAAGTGCTAAAGGAGGAGATCCCACAAATAGCGGAAAAACACTCCTTGTGAACACATATAGAATAATAATAATAATAATAGAAGCCACCCACCTCAAGATTAATTTACAACATGGACCTTAAGTTCCTGAATAGGGGCCAGCACTGTGGCACAGCTGGTAAAGCTGCCACCTGCAGTGTGGGCATCCCATACAGGTGCTGGTTTGAGTCTCGGCTGCTCCACTTCCTATCCAGCTCTCTGCTATAGCCTAGGAAAGCAGTAGAAGATGACCCAAATCTTTGAGCCCCTGCACCTGTGTAGGAGACCTGGAAGAAACTCCTGGCTCCTGGCTTTGGATCGACACAGCTCTCCGGCCATTGCAGCCATCATGGAATTGAACTAGTGGATGGAAGTTCTCGCTCTCTCTCTCTGCCTCTCCTTCTCTCTTTGTGTAACTCTGACTTTCAAATTGTGGTGGAATGAGAAGGCCATGCCAAGATGGCCACTGCAACAGAGCCTGCTTGGCAATAGGCTGTGATTGGATGGCTTAGGAAACCATATAGCAACGGAGCCTGCCTGGCAACAGGCTGTGATTGGTTAGGGCATAAACTGCCCCTTGACCGGATTGGCTGCCTTGGCTATATAAGCTGCTTTACCAACTGAAATAAACGAGTCTTCGGGCTGCTTGCCTCTGGCCTGCTTTCACCCAACTCCTGGTGTCTGTGCCTCTTGCCCCCACCGCACTCCTCCTCTCAGAACAAATCCACAGCAACATCAAATAAATAAATAAATCAAAAAAAGAAAGAAAATTGGTATGCTAAATGAAAATATCAAGTATTCATTTAAAAAAGTTCCTGAAAACACAAGGGAACACTTAACCAGCATTTAAGACACTCAAGTCCCACACCAGAGCACTTGTGCCAACAGCTGTTCCTGACTCCAACTTCCTCCCTGGGAGGCAGCACGTGACGGCGCAAGGGCTTGGACCCCTGCCGCTCATGTAAGAGACCTGGGTGGTGCTCCTGGCTCCTGGCCCCCAGCTTGACCCAGCCCTGGGTGTTGTTGGCATTTGGGGCATGAACCAGCAGATACAAACTCGCTCACTAGCTCACTCACTCTCTCTATTTTCTGCCTCTCAAATAAATATTTTTTTAAAATACTAAGGGATAAAGAAAGAAGAAAAGACTATTTTTAAAGATTTATTTGTCTATTTGAAAGGCATAGTTGCAGAGAGGCAGAGGCATACAGAGAGAGAGAAAGAGGTCTTCCATCCACTCGTTCACTCCCCACATGGCTGTCACAGCCAGAGCTGTGCTGATCCAAAGCCAGGTGCCAGGAACTTCTTCCAGGTCTCCCATGTGGGTGCCGGGGCTCAAGGCCTTGGGCCATCTTATATTGCTTTCCCAGGCCATAGCAGAGAGCTGGATTGGAAGTGGAGCAGCTGGGACTCGAACCTGTGCCCATACGAGATGCCGGCACTGCAAGCGGCAGCTTTACTGGCTATGCCACAGTGTCAGTTCCATTTTTTTTTTAAAGATTTATTAAGAAAAGATTATCATGAAATGAATCAATTGAAACTCTTGGGAAAGGGGACTCTATCAGCTGAGTACATACCCAGCACTGCTCTCCCACACGGAGCAGCCATGGAGGACCCGGGGGAAAGTCCATGATCAGAATGTAGGAAAAAGATCTGTGGCCAACAAAGGCAGTCTTGAATGTGTGTGTGTGTGTGTGTGTGTGTGCAAGATGACATGTGGGGAGCAGAAGAGGAGAGAGAGAGAGAGAGAGAGGGAGGGAAAGAGAGAGAGAGAGAGGGAGGGAAAGAGAGAGATAGAGAGAGAGGCAGAGGCGCCAAGGGTTGTGGAAGGCAGTGGCGCCTGGCACCCTGCCCCAGCCCTGCCTCTCACCAGTGCCAACAGCAGCGTCACTGAGTCTCAGGGGAGTTCCGTGGCCCTCTGTGTCCCGTTCTGGGAGGACGGCCACGCCCACTCTGGGGTTGTGGGAGGGAAGCAGACATTCTCTGTGGGCTGCTCTGCCCTTGGGAAGTACAACGTACCAGGCAGGAGCACAGTCACCACTTTGTTTACCAACAGTCTTTCCTGTAATGATAAACACCAAGACCCTGTGCCCGCCATCTTCCCCTGAGACCAAAGACGAGTACTCTCTGGATATTCAGGTGATAAAAATACCACATGGCCATGGCCATGGCCGTGGCTCCTCCCACTCCGGGGCTGGCCAGCTCACACAGCTAGGGCATGCTCCATGCAGAGGGACAGACTGACGTTCTGCTAGCTCCCTTGACAGAAGAAAAATGCTTCAGGATGACTTAATCCTTTTACTCCCCAGGGTCTCCCTGCTAAGTGCTCCCTCTTAATTCAATAGAAACACATCTGTGTTAATAACTGTCTCTGGCCGCTCCCACTGGCCAGCCCTCATCTGAGAAACCAAATACCTACCTCTGCTCTCCCTGCCCACTCTCGGGGGATGTGACGCTGGGGCCGGCACTGGGGAAGGGCACATTTGCAGGAGTCGATACCCTCCCTGCCACGGGGAAGTCGGAACCCTGATTAAATAAAACCCGGCAGGATTCGATTTGCCATCTTGAGCAGGACCAGAAACACCTGTGCCTGGAGGGGTAGGGGAGGGGCAGAGCATCATTGACCAAGAGGCTCAGACTTGACTTTGACATCCCCGTGGCCAAGGTGGCCCTGGCGCCAGAACTGCAGGAGCATCCTTCATCTAAGAGAATAAACTGACAACCTCTGTCTTCTTTGTTTACCTGCAAACCTTCACAACGAAATGAAATATTCCAAACACCCCAGACAACGGATGCTCGCGTTGGCCCATTTAAATCTCTCTGAGCAATTAAACATTCTAGACAGGACCAACACCCTCCTCCAAGGCATCCCCCAGTGGCTTCCTCCAAGACAGTTCACCTGCAGGCTTTTCTTCGCTCCATACCCAGTAGATATCAGTAAAGCATGTACCACTGATCACTTTGAAATTCACAGGAATGGCAACCACATTCTTCCATCTCTTGGGTCCTTGCCCCTAATGTTATGCTTTTGAGATTTTATTTTCACCAATTTTTCATATAGAGTACCTACAATAGATGAGCAGAATCTTATGTATTGGAAAGGTAGCATCAGAAAAAGTACTCTATACTATGTATACTATACTATACTATACTATAGCACTCTCTATATTTTTTTTTTTGACAGGCAGAGTGGACAGTGAGAGAGAGAGACAGAGAGAAAGGTCTTCCTTTGCCGTTGGTTCACCCTCCAATGGCCGCCACGGCCGGCGCGCTGCGGCAGGCGCACCGCACTGATCCAATGGCAGGAGCCAGGAGCCAGGTGCTTTTCCTGGTCTCCCATGGGGTGCAGGGCCCAAGCACCTGGGCCATCCTCCACTGCACTCCCTGGCCACAGCAGAGAGCTGGCCTGGAAGAGGGGCAACCAGGACAGAATCCGGCGCCCCGACCGGGACTAGAACCTGGTGTGCCGGCGCCGCAAGGC